CTTTGTCAGATGTGTTTGGTTTGCAAGTAAACAGAGGCTTTGGTTAGGATTAGGACACATACCAGCCATTATATATTACTCTTTTCTTGCATGTCTTAGTACCTTCCCAGGAGCAGAGACTATATTATCAGCCAGAAGTGCAGGGTGGAACAGAGAACAGATATTGGTAGAAGAGGTAAGAATATGTGTGTGGTCAGGAAATGCCTGAATGAGGAATGTGAACTTAGTCTGGACTCATCTGTCTCCTGTTTGATCATTCTGTAAGCTGTATCTAACAGAAAATTGCCCTTGCAAGTCCCTGTTGATCAACAGCAAATAGGAGCTCATTTTCTTTTTTCGTAATCACCCGAATGAACTGTGTGAACACTAAACAAAACCTATATATTTCAATGATGTAAGTTTCTGAATTAACCTCAAGGCTAGGTACAGACTGTCAAAAAGCTCGAGGCTGAATCAATTCAGTCTTTGCAGGTTAGTCCAAACTGCACAGATTAAATTGAAACAGAAGTGAACAGACATTTACCTTTGATTCAAGAAATACAGCCACATGTCTGCTGTGGCTCAGGACAGAAGCCAGGGGGTACTAAAGCAGGGCTTTCTGCCATTGTGTTCACTTCCTGCTGCCCCCAAGGTCTCTAGGATTTGCAATCCAGAATTACAGCAGCAGGACTCTGCAGGGTTACTTCCTCTTCCTGCTTCCAGGTGCCTCTGGGATTTGTGGCCCACAGTTGGAGTCAGCAGTATGTTTGAGCAGGGGAAGGGATGTTTAACCTTCCTCTTTGGCCCCAGACCTGAGCCAGGGTTTGTCTGGGGGGGCAGACCTGCCCCCTCTTCAGACTAGGCTTCTCTCACCTCCTTTATCTGCCAGCCCTCACTGTTCCAGCTAGGCAACAGAGGGGTGGGGCCAGTCCTGCTCTCTGGAGCAGACAGTACAACCCAGCCCAGAGCTGAAAAGCATGCTGGGAAGCCAGGGGATTCTGATTTATGTTGAACCAGGAAGAGGTCTGGGACTGAAATTTTGTAAACCGGTTTGACCCAAATCAGTTAAATCTAACACTACATTGAACCAGGTTTATCTTAAACCAGTTTCAGTCAATTTGAACCTGGTTTATATGCACTGAGCTTCTGTTCTGTTACAGGTTTAAATCAGTTTCTTATTTCTTAAACTGGTTTATGTGCAACTTCTGTCCCCAGTCTGAGAGAAGTTTTAACCATCCCCTCTCACCCTCATTGTTTGAGATCTATATAATTTCAGATGCAGTTAACATACGTAAGAGAAAAAGCTGTCTTTGGTTCTTCATTATTATGATATTTATTTCTGAAAGCAGGCCACTTTAGAAATGGCAGGATGTGTTGTGTGGTGATAATTGATTACACAGCTAGTGAGGGCCTGAGAATATATTTCACTTTATGGTACTTTTTTTAGGGATAGTTGCATAATATTTGAAGGGTCAGCGCATATCTGATGCATAGTGAATGTGCATCCTTTAAGAGGCTGCTTGTCACAATGAGCCAGAGTGTAGAATTTACTTTTACAGGTGGAGCACAGTTAACAATTCTGCCCAGCCAGAGTAAGGTTGTGCTCACTTTCTCTGGTTTTGTTCGTTCTGCCAACAGAAGGAGCACAGAGAAGTATAAATATGCTTCAAAAGTCTGCAGATTGAATTTGGTATTTATGAGGTCCAGTTTGGACATGTGAACTCATCTTGAGCCATGCTTCTCTAGGCAAGTGGTCCCATAGGCTAGGGACAAACATTACCACAAACTGGTTTAAGTGATCAGAAACTGGTTTAAACCTGTAACAGAACAGATGTTCAGTACACATAAACCAGTTTGAGAATGGTTGAAACCGGTTTGAGATAAACCTGGTTGAATGTAGTACCAGGCTTAACTGATTTGGCTCAGACCAGTTTATGCAATGTCTGCCCCAGACCCCTTGCTGGTTTAAGTTCAATCAGAGTCCCCCAGCATCCTAACATGCTCTCTGGCTGGGCGGGGCTCTCTGCTCCACAGCAGAGCTGGCTCCTCCCCTCTGCTCCCTGGCTGGAGCTCGGTACAGACTTGCAGGCACCAGCAGAGTCTGCTGGCTACCCCGTGCCCCCCTCTCCTCCCCCTGTCACCACTCACTGCTTAAGCAGAGATCCCTTCCTCCTCTCTGCCACAGCATGGAGCCCATAGCCAGCATGTGGTATGCTAGTTAATACCAAGAGATGTCTGTGAGTGTCTCTCTCTCTCCAATATCACTGGGATAGGCAGACAGAACAGTGACCACTTAAGGCTTTTGGAGCTAATCAATAGGTCAGCTGGTAAGCTGTTTAAGAAGTTTGAAGTAATGTGGAGAGAGGCTATTTGTTTTGGTAATTGGGTGATAAAGACCATTATCAGCCCCCCTCCCACCCCCTGGCTGGCTTGCTTGTCTCTCAGTTTGCTGCAGACAGTATGATGAAGCAGGGAGAGAGATTGAAAAGCTCTGTATCATCAACAGATGCATACACTACATATCCTCCATTGCCTCAGAGTGCTAGCTCAGGGCTGGGGGCTGGCAACACTCCTGCCCCTTGAGCAGCCAGCAAGGAAAAGCCTGGGACTGTGCAGACAGACCTCCCTACTGAGAGAGTCCTGCTGGGGCCTGGCTGCGCTCCCCTCAGCCTAGCTCCCTACAGAAGGGGGAAGGGAGGGCTGGTGTAGTGACCCTTGACTTCTAGCCTGAGACACTGCAGGCATGTGCCTGAATTTCCTCAGTCCTGAGAGAATGTCCAGTTTCACTCCAGTTCAGCCTAGTCAGGTTAGACTAACCTGCAAAGGTTGAAACAATTCAGGCTCAGGCTTTTTGAATGTCTGTCCCTAGCCATTGTAATTAATGGAGACCACTTTAGAAGTGGTAAGACTCTGTCAGTAAGGGTATCAGAATCTGGCCCTCAAACTTTTATACTAAGTAATAATGATGCACTGTTGTTACAAAACTACTTTTCAGTGTAGTGATTTTTTTTCCCCCCAGTGGTAGCTGGGGTTGATTTATTTAATAGACTTTGTACTCAAAACCACTTAACTGATCAATTACAATGTTGCTTTTCTTCAATTCTTTTCTTTATGTATGTACTGTAGGAACAGAACATGCCAGGAACTTAAAAAAAAGGAGTAGGTGTATTCCTACCTTAATTACTAGGAATGCCTATGTCTGGAAGCATTAGAGCATTTTTATAGTTTCTGAGTACTTGCGGTTGAGATGCAGAAGTAACTTTCTTTTTTTTCCCCCTTTTTTCTTTTGAATGCAGAATTATGGTTTGGAAACAGAAAATCTAAAAACTCTTTCTCACAAGCTAAACGCATCTGCCAAGAATCTGCAAAACTTCATAACTGGAAGGAGGAGGAGTGGTCACTATGATGGCAGAAGCAGTAGAAAATTACCAAATGATTTCCTGACATCGGTGGTGGATCTGATAGGAGCGGCTAAAAGTCTGCTGGCTTGGCTGGACAGGTAAAATCTCCCAAATGTTTCACAGGTAACCAGTTCACGCATGCACACAAACAAGCCTTTTTGATGTAAATTTATATGAACATTAGAGTGCAAGTGAAAACAGTCTATTTATTTTAAAGAATGGACATCTTCAATTGATTTTTAAAAATGAGAGCCTCAGCATGTGATTTGGATTGTACTCAAGGTAGTGTCTGTAAGTGTATAACATCAGTAGGCATTTCTGGAAAAATATTAGAGGAGAAAAGAAATATTAGGCAAGATGTTTATTTTTTGGATATTAATATAAGATTAACACTCAAACTAATTCCTTTGAATTACTGAATTGGCAAAAATTGTGAATATACTTCCATTGTACCCATGCTACTATTTAGTTCTACAGTTCTTCTATTGCAGCTCAATATTTAAATAAAATTATAGAATACTTTGAAGACCTATACACAACTGGAACTTTTTTGGTCTGCTGTTTTTTATCGCATGCTCCTAGGTCCAGATCCAGTTCATATTATCATCAGAGATAAGACTTGTATTGAAATAAATAGATACAGGATTAGGTTTTACTGCTAATAATAAATAACTTCTTAGAACCAGGGTTGACTGCTCTCTTTACTATTTACCTGTGTCCATACTTTGTTTGTCATGGTGCCAAGATTCTCTAGGTAGTAAATTTGAAGGCGATTATTGCGATTTCTTAGCTCATTATTCTGCCTTTAATTATATGCTTTTATAAAATACTTCATGAGTCATTTTATAATGAGCAGAAATACATGGCTTGTTTTGTTTTGATTAGAAGGTGGTGTTGGTACAAGGTAGACTGTCCCCCTCAGCTGAAGCTGTGATTAAATAAAATGGGGTGCATCTGTGTGCCTGTGCTTCTGAGATCCCAAGCATATTTTTCAGTTGGGAAAATTACCTTTGTGCCCTAGAAAGAAATAATCTGGAAAAAAGTGATTTGTTGCAAATAAGGCATGTGCCTATCCACCTTTTAAACAAAATTTACTGTAAAGCCATGCTTTTACCCTGTAATCGCTACTGAATCTCCCATTTTTAAATCTGAAAAGTCTGGGCTAAAATTGGAAAGCAGGTGATGAAAAACATGTCTAGTAATTTAAGGAATAAGTGGTTACACTGGACATAGTTTAACATGTGTTGCTGTAAGTTTTTAAAAGCAGTACAATCATTTTCTTTTAAAATGAGCACCCAAACTTGATCTCTCTTGAATGTATTTTAGTCACCTAAATATATGCTTAGGGGCTGCGTTCAGAAATGTAGAGGCGTACACTTGCAGCGGCACAAATTGTCACAAAGCGCCTCTGCATGTGCACTTCATTGCAGGACAGATTATCTTGCAGCCAGCAAACTGCCATTGCCCAGCTCCTCCTGGCTCTTCAGGAAAGGCTGCTCCCCTTTGTTTTAGATATAAAGCCAAGGGTCACAGCTAGTGAATTGGTTTGGGCTCAGCAATTCCTTTCATCTTACCCGTTGTTTCTAAAGGAATTTATTTCAGTCGTGTAATACAATAGACCCACGGGATCCTAAACTTTCTGGACTAGTGGATCACTGTGAACCTTTAATACTTCTGGACGCATTCATATTTAGTTCATCAAACTTTTAAAGTGCTAGGGCCCAGGTGCTGTATGGTGACCACTTAACCATGGCATTAAAGACCATGATTTCACAACCACTGCAGACAGACCAGAAAAATTAGGAGACAATCACTAAAATCATTTTAAGCATAGATCCCACTCTCTGTTACTCTTGTGTTCTGCATTCATCTGAAGTTATGGTTGCTTATCTTTTCTGAAAACAAAGTCCCCATCCGCAAAAGGCAGTGAAAATGAGAGGCTGATTTTGAAAATGTTATTTGTAGTGTTTGAAAGAAGCTTCCTCTTTAAGCAATATTTTAATTTCAATCAGATATCCAGCAAACAGTTATTTTGAGGATGTACATGACTTAGGCACATTCTTGTGGTGTGTATTTTGGAATATTCTAAGAGAGGCAAGGATTTTCTGTTGGATCACCTGCATGGCTGGGATAAAGTAAACTTTTGAATGCAAGGTATTCTTTGAATGCGTAGTAGTTTTTCAGTCAGTAGGTCCATTTGTTCTTCTCTGGAAGGTCATAAAGACAGGGATGGGGGCAGGTAATGATTATATATTCTTCTCCTCTAAGAGAATGAACATTTAAAAATCCACAAGGGTGTTCTGCCTATTATGTTCCTTTTAAATAAATGGTTTTTTTTGTGGTGGGGTTTAACAGAGACTTGGTTTTGTTTCATTCAGTCTGACTAATAGTTTGGCTATGAGTACCTTTATACATAAATATTTTTTGCTAAAACACAAAACAACCTAAAATGGGTTGAATTGATTTTAAATAGATCCAACGCTTTGATGATAGGTTCTCTTAGTAGATAGATCTATTTTGTGTTTTCTTCATCATCTAGATGATCTGAAGATACTTTATTTATATGGCTTTTATACTCTGAGTAGCTAAAGCTTATGAGTGCTTTTCAATGGAAATTTCAAGGATATCTGCATTTTATATCTTAGTGTATTTTTTTCCATTCAGCTTTATTACTGTATAGGGGTGAGTGTGCAATGAAACTCAATTGAGCTTTCACCCTGTAAGGGGAAAATGAAGGCAGCATCTGTGTGAATGGGTGAGGGTTGTAAGTGTGTCTGCATACTGACAATAGTTTGCAGCCCTTGGGTCACTTGATGTATTTCTGCCCCAGTGCATAACAGTGCTGTAATCCACTCCACTGTGACACCCAGGCTTGGTTACTACTGTACATATCTGTTCAGCCACCCTAGAAAAATTGCCCAGTGGCTCCAGCTGGTACTGAATGCAGTTTTTTGCTGCTTGGATGAAGTGAACCTCTATGCTAACAATCTCTTACTATACAAATGCACGTTTAAAGTGCTGATTGCTTAAGGCTAGTGTCCTGCTTCCCTTCAGGGGCCTCTTGGAACTGTAGGCTGCCTATATAGGTGCTTGGAGGTGGTGGTGGTGGGGCAGTTAAATTTGACTAGTTCCCAGAGAGCTGCTTTAATTATAACAGCTCACCATCACATGTATTGAGCTCCTTCCCTTCCCCCGAGTTTCAAAATGGCCATGGGGGCTTTTTAACTGACAATGAAGCAACTCAATTAATCGAGTCTGCTCTGACACGTTCTAATTAGAACATGAACGAACATGTCTATAGGCAGCGTTAAATTAATGAGCATCTGGCACTGGTTAGGACTCGTCCCTTTTTAAACCACACTTAAGCTACATTTAAAAATATTTTTATTTAATTTAACAGTAGGAATTGGGGATATATTTTTTTCAGAACACTGCCAAACCTCGATTTTGAGATGATCAAAGTACTGGTACTTTTTTAGGACATCTGGGGTGCCTATAGACGAGCAGTGAGGCAGCCAACACCTTACACTTGCATTGGTATACTAAAAGACAAGCTTTAGTTAAAGCACCCCACCACCATTTTTCAGTGTGGGGATGCTGATGCACGAGATGCTCCGGGTGTTTTAATTAGAGTGGATCTTGGAGCCACTCTAATTAAAGCACCCCTCTGCCCCCAACTCCTGGAGCACATCTATAAACACCCCTGGATTCTGGAATTTGCTTTCAGAAAAACTCTGCTGTCCTCAGAGTTCTTAACCCAAACTTGTTAATGTTCTATGACCTCAAATCCCCTTGAATAATTTTGCCTTTTAAATCTTTTTTTTGGTGAGAGAAATTTTGGGGACCTTGGGTGTGCTAACAGTTTTGGCCTACGGGCCTCTACAACTTCAGCATCCATAAGGAACTACCTTGCACTAGTTTATCAGGAAATTCGTGGGTCAGTCAGAACTGTGCCATATTTGTGAATATATTTTTGTGAAGGAAAATTATTTAAATTATTATGTGCTCATACAATTGCCTTATACTGTTACTGCTTTAAACCTATCCCACAGTGAGTAGCAGCCGTTATTTATACAGTAACAGGAATCTATTTTTCTTTCTTATTAATATATGACATCATTCTGAATTCTTCTATTCTAACACCTTAGCGCACTGTTTTTCCTGTTCTGTAAAAGTGAGGTATTCCATTCTTCAGAGTGAACTCTTCAATGCTGCATTTGTCAGTACTGATCTGTTTAATTACTAAGAACACCTGTAACATTTTGGTGGAATGTGTTTCTCTGCATCTCTTTTCAATTGATATTTGCTATATCATATGCAACCATCAAATATGGAGACACCTAATTTTCTATTTAAACGATCGTTCTGATCAAATTGTCAAAGCACTGCTTTGTGCTTCTGGCCACAAGGCAGCGAAATTATACACGACAGCTCTACAGCAGCAACTGTAATGAGTATAGAGTGCTTTTTCACTTTTTCATTCAAATGTTCAGAAGCGAAATAGGTGAATAAGGGTCTAGGAAAATTTGAACATTCACAATCAAAAGAACTCTGTTGAAAGGAAAATAAACTGAACTAACTGTTAATGAAAACCATTAAAAGAAATGAAAAGCGGCACATAATGAACTTCCACCTTTCTAAAATGAAGTGGGGATTAAATCAAATTGAACTGAAAATGTGTGCGTCTGCTGGAGATGTATTAAATTAAGGCAAACTAGAATGGTAATTTATTACAAAAAGGTAAAACTAGAAAGTAATACCTCCATGGTAGTATACTTGCAGTTGCATAATACACTGAAATTCTTTGATGTAAAACAACTTTGTGAAAATTATCTTCTTACTGAGTAGATTACTATATCAGGTCACTAAACTGAGAATAGTGCCTTGTTATTCTTATTAGCATTGAAAAGCCATCTCAAGCAAGTTAGTTCCATCTTGCTGTATGCTCAGGACTATTGTTTCCTAAGTTCCAAGTAGTGCCATAGATCTAGATCTAAATATCTAGATATATAGACATTGATCTTCATTGAAAGCATTTTGTATAAATGTAATTTTGGAGGTTCCATTTTCACTGTTTTGATCATTTTTATATCAGATA